AGGCGTGCCGATCTCGACCGGGAGCGTTATTTTTCCCTCGGGGTAGATAAGAGCCCCGGTAAATCCTGACAGTGGTACACCGACCGGAGTCAGCTCCTTCCTGTCAAGGCCAAGCTTCTCAAACACGTCCAAGTATAGGACGTTCACGCTACTGCCCGTGTCAACCATAACCCTTTGGACATCCGTCCCCTTAACGTCAATCGTGACCACGAGCGCCTCCATGCCGTGATCACTGCTGGTAGGTTGGTCCTCGAGGGTGAAGGTTATGGGCTCCATCTTCTGCCTCTTCCCGGTCTCCCGGGAATCCACTACTGCGACCGGGCAATTTGTCCGCGGTCGGGAAGCATCTTCCAGCCCACCAAAAATGACGTGGATGGTAGGTTTTCCGGACGGGCGGCTACCGGACGGAGGGTCAGGGTCCCGTCGGTCATCATGACGATCGTCCCTTCGATCGTCTCTTCGGTCCTGGCCCGACCGATCAGAGCGGTGATGAGATCGTCTGTGATCCCTCCGATCGGTATTTCTCTTGCTGTCTTCTCTCTTTCCCACACACTTGTCCAATTTTCCCAAATTGAGCAAATCTTCCAATAATTGGCGCAAGTGGGTACACTCCTCGGTGTCATGCCCGGCGCATCGATGGTAAGCACAGTGCTTACTCTTGTCAGGGCCGTCTCGATCGGGATGGGGGAGTTTGATGACATTGCAGGACTGAGCGCACTGCATGGCCTCCGCCGCGGATCGGTTCAAGGCCGTAAACTCGCCAGGCCTGGTGCGGGATCGGGGATGGTCATCTCCCGACCGATGTTCCGCCCGGCCGGCCGGTTTACGGGACGAAGAGCCGACCTCCTGCAAGCGCTTGACGGCATTCGCCTCACCTGCGTTGGCATAATCAGTGACCCTTCGGAGGGCCTCCTCATAGGTGGTCGGGGGGTGGAGGATAAAATCCTGGTATAGATACCCCACCCGGAGGGAGATGTGGAGCATGTGAGTGGCGGTCGCATCATCCATGGGCTCGACCTCCCCGACCGCCGCCTTCCACTTAATGAGGAAGTCGGTCAAGCTTTCCCCCTCGAGCTGCTTGGCCTTTTCGAGGTACATATAGGACTTCCTCACCACTTTGGAAGTAATGAACTTCCGTACAAACTTGATCGCCAGGGTCTCAAATTTGTCGATTGACCCCGGCTGCAGGGTTCGGAACCATTCTGCCGCCCGACCGGTGAGCGTTGAGTAGAAGGCCCTGCACATCACGGCGTCTGAAACGCCCTTCAGCATCATATTGCTGAAGAAATCATTCACGTGAGCCTCAGGGTCTGTCCGACCGTCGTAACTCTTCTCTCCCGAGACCTTTAAGTCGAGCGGGTAAGGCTGAGCCATTACCGCTGCTGTGAAAGGCGTCTGGTGTAGGGTCGATCGGTCGGCCGGGGGTGCTGTAGGATACGCACTCCTGAGCTGCGCAACTTCCGCCTGGAGGTTGTAGAGCAATCCTCGGGTTTCGTTGAGCTCGGCGGCTTGAGCGGCTTGGGCTGTATCCCGAGCGCGTCGCCGTCGGTGAGATCTCGACCCGCCCGGGATGTGGACTGACGCTGCGGCTCTACTTGTGCGGTCGGTTGTACTGGAGGGGCGGCGGCTGGAGCTGTATAGGCAGGCGTATATGGTGGATAACCAACCGGGGAAGTGTAACACATCGGTTGGCCTGGCCAATACCCATACGGTGGAGGTGGGACCGGGTACGGATACTGAGCGGGATACATCATCGGCTGCTGCTGGTATGGCAGACCGGGTGGTGGGTATCCCGGTTGTATGTAATTCACCGGCTGCTGGGCGGCCGGGTACGTATTCGACGGATGCGGTGGTGAGAGATTGAGGTTGAGGTCCATCGTCTGACCCTGCTGTTGGGTAGCGTAGTGGTCAGAGGAGCTCGCCGCGTCCGCCTGGTCGTCGGCAAAGTTGTTGTGTGCCCACGGATACATGTTGGAATGGTGATCGGGTGCTCGTCAAGACGTTGGTTTCTTGGACGGGTCCCCACAGACGGCGCCAAAATGATACTGCTAATTCTACGTAAGCAATATAAAATATCACGAGACCAATTAAAGCAAGTAAAATCTTTATTGATCACGGTAAAGGCCCTAAGTACAATCTACTTGGTTGTTCTGAGTACCGACTGACTGCGGTCGGGATTCTCTAACAACAACCTATCGATCGTCCAAAAGTCCCTCACACTGTAGCTACTGTGGGTATTTATAGCCGCTATGCCGGGGACAGGATTCCAGCCGTTCGGCATGTCCTCCACGTAGCCACCACGTGTCATCCTCCCGGGTGCCCTGCCTATCGATGTAATGAGCCGCCACATGTCCGTCGTCAGCTTTCTCGCCAAAGGGCTATCGCTCGGTGGTCGACACCGTCGCTCGGGCAACTCCCGGTCGGTCTACGACCGAGTTCTTCTCGTGGAGCCCGACCTGTTACCTGCAAAGACAAGGAGAAAAGGACAAAGGCTTCTCGGTCGTGGTGAAGCTATGTCGGTCGGGATATTCCCTACCATAACATTATTGTATTTAATCGTGTCATGATCTTTTATTACAATTCTGATTAATTCAAAGCCAACTTATTATTATTACTAATGTTTCTTATGCGCGATGCGCAAAGAAATAGGTGTCCAATATTAATATTTTCTATATTTAAATTAATATTTTATATTAAAATTTTAAATTTATTTAGATTTTAGATATTTAAATTATTGTAAATAATAATAATAATAATAATAATGTAAAACATTTCTATAAATTTTATATTTATATTTTAAGAAATAACTAACATATAATCACAATATAATGTGTATATTATTATTATTATTATTATTATTAAAAATAAGAAAATATATAGTGGATGCATATGTGCATGGTAGCAATAATAGAAAAGATAACGGAAGTTATAACGGTAGGAGTATGTTTGTCCAAAATATTGTATAGTATAACATTTATAGCATAATGTATCATAAACTTAACGGAAAAAACGGACATAAATGAAAAGTATAATCTTCATCCACACTTATTATGTTTTAGATTATTATTAGTAAAAGTATTTTTTTTTAAGAAAAAAATGATTAAATAGATTTTCCATTTGGAACATTAAAAAGTTCCCTAAACTTAGTAAAATTGTTCATTTAAGCTTTATTGATTATCGATAAAAATTACGATGACATGACATACTTATTTGTTTACATGACTTTGTTTTTTATTTTTTATTTTAAATTAAAATATGATATTATTGAGCATATATATATATATATATATATATATATATATATATGTCAAACTTGGAACCTTATAGTTACCAAAACAGCTCAATTAGGACGGGGTTGCCCACAACAAGTTTTATGTTCTTGTACATGTTGAGAATACATTTCCAAAAAATATATATGCATAAATTATAAACACTAAAAAGGTGGCTCTTATGACCAAACTGAATTGACGAGCAAATGAAAAATAATAAACTCAAAGACATATTTGCCCCCATGCAGGATCGAACTATAGACCTTCAGTTTACAAGACTGACGCTCTACCACTGAGCTATAGGGGCTGGGTTGTTCCTTTTCTTTAGTGGGCAAGGTACAAAGGGAAAGAAAAGAAAAGCAACTGTTAAAATTCTGCAAAAAGAAAAAATACATTCATAAATTATAAAGCTGCAGAGAATGCTTTCCTTTCCCTCTTTACTCCATAGCTGGCTGATCATAACTCATAAGATCCCACAATCCACATTCTCAACCAGATTACAAAAAGGGGGTTCATCCTATCAACTAACAATGGTATACTAACTATTTAAGCTTTTGTGGGTGATTGGTGAAGGGTGTGATCTCACCACTTCACCACAGCAAAGCTAATAATGAAGTAATGATCAAACACATATCATCTTTTACCATCTGCAGACCATCAAGTATGGTGAAACTTGAAAGACATCATTCTGTTACCCGTTTGTATGATGGTATCATAATGCATTCAAGAGATCGTAAGGATCAAGCGTTTACCACTACGACAAAAGCTATAACTAGTAGCAAAGACGCAACTTTATTTCCTTATACTGTCACATTTTCGAGAGGCAGGATGTTGAGCTTGACCCTTCAAGCCTCCGCTAGCCATCTGGTGCTGGACTTGGCCCTTCACTAGCCTTTGCCCAACAGAGATGATCATCATAATGAAGCACTGACATAAGAGATTGTACGGATCAAACGTTTACCACGACGCCAAAAGCTATAACTAGTAGCAAAGACGCAACTTTATTTTCTTATACTGTTACATTTTCGAGAGGTAGGGTGTTGAACTTAACCCTTCAAGGCTTCCGCCCAACAATCCCCTAGCCACCTAGTGCTGGACTTGACCCTTCTCCGGCCTCCGCCCAACAGAGATGATCACAACAACTTCAGATCCTAGGTGAATGTATACGAGGATGAAATAACATTTCAACTCCCTATGAACCGTTTTCTGGTAGGTTGTAAGGACAGCTTCTTGACACCAAATGTAGTTAGTATTTACTTGGAAGAAGAAGAAACTCAACTGAATTGCCTACCGGTTTCGTTTCTTTTCCCTTTTCTGGTACATCTAAATGGGGGCAGACGACGAGACCATAATACAGGACTACTGCTTAGAAAGGACATATCTTATCACCACCAAAACTACACCCCGAACCCCCCACGCGAATTGGTAGGCAGTTTCCTATCAATCTCACTAGTTTTTAACTTAAAACAAAAGATGTCCAGACAGTTCACCTAATCACCTTAGCAGCCTATATATGAAAACGGGTAAGAATGCTGTTAAAATCGCAACCTGAAATCTCTATCAATCTAAATTGAACCAATTGCTAAGTTAACACAACTCTTTTACTATTAGCCTAAATGTTCTTCCTTTGCTCTATCATATCAGTTTCACTTTTCAGAAATGGAAAAAAAATAGAAGCTTTTAACATAAGCTGCATAAAAATGGTGAATTTATCAGTGCAAAGGCCACCAATAAGCAAAAGATATAATATATTTCCAGTAAAATAAAACAATCATTTCCAATATTTCAAGCAGAAATTAATCTCTCTCAGGAAAAATTACTGCTGCTTTGTATCAATCTCCTTGTACCGTACCCTCTCTTCTTCTTAAATGTATAATAATCAATTAAACAAATCTCAGTGGCAATAAAGAAAATTTTCCTAATCTAAACGAAAGAAAAAGCGATTAATTTACCTCATTTACAGCATTTGGACAACAGAACTAGGAAAATAATCAAGAAGACGATCAACGACAGCGTAATTGCAATGCCAAGAACAACCTTACTTGGGCCATGGCTATGGTGCCGAGGTTCATCGTCGTCATCATCATCGTAATCCTCGTCGCTGCTGTCGCTCGCAATGGCACCGGAAGACGCCGGCGGCGACATAGGCAGCCCGTGCTTATCGCAGGGGGCAATCCCGAGCTTGAGCTTCGAAGACAATGTAGAGTGGTTGTAGCAAAGATTGGAGTTTTCGCCGATCTTGAGGACGGCTAGTTTCTTGATGAAAGAGGCGTTGAAGGGCAAAATCCCTTTGAAGTTGTTCTTTTCAAGATTCAAGTACTTGAGAGCCTTGAAATCTGAGATGAATTTTGGGATTGTCCCGTTGAGCTGGTTAGAGCCCAGATCAAGATGAACAAGGTCGGGAATGGCGGCTAATGAATCCGGGATTGGTCCTGAGAGAGAATTTGAAGATAAAGACACGTTTTTTAGCGAGGTTAAGTCCCCAAAGGTAGTGGGGATTGAGCCATTGAGTGAATTATAGGAAAGATTCAAGAACACAAGATTTTCCAGCTCGGTTAGCATGGGAGGGATTTTCCCTTTGAGCTTATTCCCGGACAGATCGACATAGGAGAGATTCGGGTGCCAATGTTTGGGGAGAAACCCCGTGAGATTCGCGTGAGAAACGGTGACGGTTCTCAGGTTTTTGATGCTATTAAGGATAATGGAAGGGCCGCTGGCGGTGATGGAGACGTGAGAGACCGTTAAGTCGGTGAGGTTTTGGAGGCGGCTAAGCCAGACTCCGGTGAGCTTCTTGAGGCTGTTAATGGCGGTGAATGACCGGAGATTCGACGCCAGCTCGGAGGGGAAGCGGATGGGGGAAATGGGGCAGTCCAGGAACTCCAAATCCTTCAAAGTAGACAACGATTTGAGGGCTGTAAGCGACAATGCAACATCGTCGGAGCAATTAGCGATCTTGAGGGAGACGAGGTGGCGGAAGGGCGCGGAGCCGTCGCAGACGGTGGTGGAGTTGTGGAGGGGCGAGCAGGGATCCTTGGAGGTAGGAACACTCAAAGATTGCAGAGCTCTCAGCTGCTTAGGGTCAAGTGTGGAAGAGGAAATCGCCGCCGGAGAAGAAGAGGATTGTGGCGGTTTGGGAGCCGCAGAGGGCGGTTTAGTGGGGGCAATGGTGGCGGAGAGAGTCGGCGGCGGGAGAAGAAGGAGGAGCGTTAGAGAGAGGAGTAAACGCGCCGCCATTGCACGGTGGTTTTCTTGAGATTCCGGCGGGGAGAGAATCGGAGTTTGTAGTAAAAGAAGTGAGTGTTGGACTATGTAGTTTAGGGTGAAAACTGAAAAATGGTGTGGTGACAGTTGCAGAGGCATTAATATACCCCCGAACATGGTTATAATTACAGATTGTGCCACTCAAATCGGCCCTCCCATTAAGTAAGGGGTATTAATAATTTTAACAACACCTTGTAGTCTTGTAACTTGCAAGCAACGCTTTACCTCATTCTCATTTTTTATGTGTCGGGTTTCAAAAGAGTAACAATGCTTGATCGAAGTTATTTATAATTTAATTTTTATAATATTAAGTTTTGAATAAATATGTAAAATTTATATTTTTAAAAATTACATCAAAATTATTATTAAATAAAGAAAAATTTTAATCTAAAGATTATAAAAAAATGCAAATAGAAATAAATAATGAAAAATGAATTAATTTGATCAATAAATAATAAATAAAATAGATAAAATGTGACAAAGAGAGTACTATATTTGGAAAAGTTGTAAGTATCACACAAGAATTGCAAAAGTTGCAATTCTGTTTTGTCTGCAACACATAAGCAAAAATTAAAAAAAAAAAAAAAAAAAAAAAAAAAAAAAGACAACTATGATTTGCAATGAGAAATTTCAGGCTTGCCGATGGCCTTAGAGCATCCTCATCAGCTTTGAACTTTACACGATTTTTGAAGTTTCACTAGGAGAGAGAGGAGGGATAGAGATTAAGGAAAAAAATAAAAACAAAAAAAAAGTAAAAAAAAAACAAAAACAAAAAAAAAAGAGTTTTGACCATGGTTGAAAAACTCGCTACGCGCACAAGGGCGCTTAGGCGGCAATTAATTGGTGTCTAAGCGCCTATGTATTTTTTATTTTAATTTTTTAATTTTTTTTAAAGATTTAATAATTATAAACTATTTAATACTTTAATAGTTAATACTAAAATATTAAATATTAACCTAAAAAAGCATATAAAATTTGAACAATTTAGGACTATTTCCCTCAAAACAGTGTCGTTTTTGAGTGAAATAACACATTTAAAAAAGAAGCGAACAATAGCTAATTGGCCGACTAGGCGACCTAGTCGATGCCTATGAGGCCTAGGCGACCTAGTTCACCGCCTAAACCACCGATTATGGTGATACACTAGGCGGTCGGCCAACGCTTAGCACCTAGGTATCAATTAATCGGTGCCTAAGCGAAACTTTTGCAACACTGATTCTAATGTGAAAAAAAATATATATAGAGCAGGTCTGACACGCCAACGGACGCGTGCATTTGCGCGATCTGTACAGCTCAATCACCCTACAAAAAATCACACTTGAAGGAGGGACTCATTTCTTCTCTCTCCTCTGTGCTCTTTTCTACTAAAAAAAACCTATGATAAAACCACAAGATGGGGATTGCCTTACAACATATAAAACCTATGAAATAGCAAAAAAGGAATATAATATATATCAATATTTCTAATTAATTTTTAGTGGACTGTGCTAGCTGTTTTATTCAATTAATGATATTAAAAATTCATAGAAATATACTTTGTAAAATTAATTATTTACGGTAGATGCTACCATGGTTGAAGGGAATTTAAATTCCCTTCCCACTTAATTCCCACCTAATTTCAAAGGTTACAAAATTTCCTTGTTTGGTTGAAAGAAATTGCAATTCCATGAAATTGTAATTCCCCCATTTTCATGGAATTAAAATCTCATGTTCCCCTGAGATTTTAATTCCTGAGAATTTAGGAAGAAAAAAAAAAAAAGATAGTGATGAGTCAAAATTACCCCTTCTTTTTTTTTTTTTAACATAAAATTAATGTATAACAACAACAATGGACATTTTTGACTTTATACTACTTATTCCCTTTCAATTCCCATGTATACCAAACATTGGAATTGAAATTTCCAGTAATTTTATTCCGGTAAACCAAACACTGGAATTTAAATTTCCACTTTATTCTCAGTAATTCATCTCCCATGAAATTACAATTCCTTTCTCACGTAATTCCCCATCTCCAGCCAAACGCCCTGTAATATGTATAATAGACATAAAGTATCATTTGACAATAACATTATACTTATAACTACGTCCATATTATTTAAAAAAGAAATGACTTGCTAAGTATCATTTGGTATCTTAGATGCCTATTCAAGTGTCAAGACTTTCTATTTATACAATTTAATAAACTTTTCTTAATTTGTTGCTTCATGATGAAAGATGGTTATGTTTCGTATACAATTTGGTAACGCTACTAATTAAAGTTTACATAAATTTTTTTAGAAAATAATAAAAAGACTACATAATCCAACATCAAATTAAAGTAATATATATTTACCCTCAAAGTGTCAAGTACGTGGGTGGAACATGACTCTCGTATTTAAAAGTTACGGGTTTGAGCCTTGACGTCTTGTCAACAATCTCCTAATTGAATCCTTCGCACAAGATCCCTTTTGATCAAACCCGTTTTATACCCTTAAATAGTAATTATGAGTTTAAAGCAATTCTGGCCATCTCATTAATTCACATTTCATAATTTTGTATGTGTTAATGACTCTTAAGTTTATTAAAGTGTAATCATCTTGTCTGAGTTGAAACCAAGAGGATAAAAGCTTATTAGCGAGAGAAGTCTTCACTAATGATTCTTGTAGTTTTTTTTTTTTTTTTTTTTTTTTTTTTTTTTTTTTTTTTTTTTTTTATTCTTTTAACTAATAAAAAAGTGTAATCATATGATCTAAACTCCTTGCAGTTTCTAATCAATAAATTAAAAGATTGATTTTTAGGATTAAAACATAATTTGTTGTTTCATGATGAACATCCAATGAAGTCCAGCATCCTATTTGTCTGTGAATATAACAATTGTAAATCATATGTAATATACAGATTTTAATTTAGTTGATCTTTATAACACCGTCTCATGTGATGCAAATTTGAAATATATATAGATTTTAATTTAGTAATTTTTCTTTTTCTGTTTATTTTTCACTGAAATGAGTGATCAAGTGGTGGAACATGATCATTTTCGTATCTGAAGATCACGAATTGAGGACTTTTACATAAGAGCGGAGTTTACTATGTGCACATCCTTAAATAGTGATAAAAAAAATATAATACTTTTTTATTGAAAAATGGAAATACTAATAAAAAAATATATTTTTAATTTATTAAAAAATATTACAATATCTATTTCTCACGTGAAATGATCTTACACAAAATTTTGTATTATTTTATTTGATTTCCGGTTAGATAATTTCTTGTGGCTTTAAAAGAACTCCAACCATGCATGTGCAATATGTCAAAGTTTATTAGTTAAAGCTCAGCTCCCAGTACAATTTGTTAAACAGTCAAATCCTAGTAAACCAATTAAGATACACAATAAATTTGTCACTACCATTAATTTCAACGGTGCTAAATTATTTAACCAAAACACATTGACTCGACTGAAAGATATTTGAGTCGCTTAATCATGAAATCGAGAGTTTAAATAGTTTTAATTTATGTTTTTATTCCTTTGTTTAAATGAATTAGACTTCTTTTGTTTAAAGTACAAATATCCTAAAAATATTTTTAATAGGCATAGATTTTAAGGAATTTTTGCAGGTGTAACTAGAAAAGAGAAGATGAGAAAGAAGGGGAAAAAATATACGGTTTAACGTGTCCAACAGGCGCGTGTACTGCTCGTGCTCGACTGGGATGGGCGTTTCTGGTGTGCTTCACGCACACTCGAGGAGGATGAGAGCTTTTGGAATTGAAGCTACGTATATTCAATAATAATGAATAGCACAAAACGTGTATACAGAGAAGATAGAATATATGTACAGAAGGAGTCCTATTACAAATACAATAGACTAAAAGAAGTCTTAAGTAAACACATAACTAATACACCCCCTCAAGCAGACGGGGGACAAAGGACAACGCCTAGCTTGACACGCAACTCAGCAAAACGAGGACCGGATAGGGGCTTAGTGAAAATGTCAGCTATCTGATCCTTTGTGGAAAGGAAATTCACCTTTAATTTGCCAGTCGCCACACGTTCACGAACAAAATGGTAGTTTATCTCGACATGCTTGGTCCGAGCGTGAAAAATCGGGTTAGCACACAAATACGTCACACCGAGATTATCACACCAGAGCACAGGAACAGAATGTAGAGACAGACCAAGCTCACTCAACAAGGACTGAATCCAGGTAACCTCAGCCGCAACATCAGCAAGCGCCTTGTACTCGGCCTCGGTGGATGACCGAGCAACAGTGCGCTGCTTTCGGGATACCCAAGAGACCAAACTGGAACCAAGAAAGATTGCAAAACCGGCGGTAGAGCGCCTGTCAACCTGGCAGCCAGCCCAGTCAGAGTCAGAAAAAGCGTGTATGGTAGTAGCTTGCGAGCCTAGCAGCTGCAAGCCAAGATCCAGAGTTCCTTTAACATAGCGTAAAACCCGCTTCAGATCCGCAAAATTCAGTTCAGTGGGGCCATGCATAAATTGACAGAGCCGATTCACAGCAAAAGAAAGATCAGGGCGAGTGACCAGCATGTACATTAAGGAACCAACCAACTGCCTGTACAACATCGGATCATCAAGCGAGGAGTCATCAGAAGCGGCACGCGATGCAGAAACTGAAATAGGCGTGGCCAATGGCTTGCAAGACTCCATGCCTGCCCTGCACAGAACCTCTAGCATGTATTGGCGTTGAGAAAGAATAATGTCTGAACCAGTATGAACCGCCTCAACACCTAGAAAGAAACGAGGCTTGCCAAGATCCCGGATCTTAAACTCAGAGGATAACCTGCGCAGGAGACTATCAACCAGAACAGAACAACTGCCTAACAACAGGATATCATCTACATAGACAAGCATATAGGCACGCAGCTCACCAGAAACATAAATAAACAATGAAACATCAGTGCGAGAAGGACGAAAACCAATGGTGAGCAAGAAATCGTGCAACCGCATAAACCACGCTCTAGGCGCTTGCTTGAGGCCATACAGAGACTTCTCCAACTTACAGACATGGTTAGAGAAGGAGGGATGAACATAGCCGGGCGGCTGACGCATGTAAATATCCTCCGAGACATGCCCATTAAGA